GTTGGCATCTGGCACATGTAAATCATATTGCCCTGGCATATAATTATTTAGAATCCCTGGTGTGTGATGTGGTAGAAGAAATCCCCTTGGAATATTCAGATGTAGCCGTCCGTTCATAACCTCTGCTTTTAAACTCCCGGTGACTGAATAAAGCAGTTTATTCTCACAAAATTAAAGTTTCAGAAGCAAAGGAGGTATGTCTTAAAATTCTGGACTGCAAGCAATATCTCATTTCATACCACAAAGCTGTGGCACGAATATGAAGAACCTCCAGATTTCATATGGAACACGAGTTACTCAGATTACATCGATTGTATGATTATTACCACTGTTCATAATCATATCAATTGTGATCACACGACTTTGACACTTGAGTTTTATAGCTTTCTTTGTTTTCTCCTATTTGTCGTAGGGGTAGTGGAATTTTCCAGATATCGGGGACAGGTGATGAATTATTCCTATTACATGTATTTGCAGTTGATTCGATAAACAAAGCTTCCGTTATCAATCTCTCTCTATACCCTGTGACATTAGATTTTAAAACTGTCATCCTATCCCATCCTATTGTATGGTTGTGTGTGACTGCATGTAGTGCTATAGCTGAACTATTCTCTAGATTTCTTATCCTATTCGGGTCAACCAATCTAGATTTTGCTAAGTTTTTATGTTTAGCTAGTCTGACTGTCCCTGTTCTACTAGTTTGACCTATGTATTTGACCTGACAATCATTGCAGGGTATTAGATAAACTAAATTGTTTTGTTTTAAAGGCTCTACAGGATCCTTTAGCCGACAAAGCTTGTTTCTAATTGAGTTTGTGGGTTTGAATGCCGTTTTTATTCCTGCCTTGTTGAGAATTCTGCGTAAGGCTTCCGAGGTTCCTTCCTTGTATGGAATTACTGCTGATGATTTAGATTCTTTATTGTTGGTGTCGTCATCAATATTATTATTATCACTATTATTATTATCATCATTATTGTTATTATCACTATCGCTATTATCATTATTTATTTTATTTTTACATTTCCTAACATATTTCCTGACTAATTTATCCGGGTAATTATTAAGTTTCAAGGCTTCTTTTATATGTATCAGTTCTTGTTTTAGATTTTCTTTGGTACTACTTAATTTTTGTGCTCTGTCATTTAAACATTTCACCAATCCTATTTTTACTGACAGGATGGGATGATTAGAAGTCCAAATATCTGTTTGAGTGTGTGGGTTTCCTGTATACACTAGTGTTTAACTTCCCATCTTCTTTCCTCTTTACGTTGCAATCTAACATTGGGAGCTCGCCTTCCTGATTTTCGAATTCATAAGTGAATTGAATTACTTCAACCTTCGAGTTTACGTGTTCGAAAAACCTATCTATATCTTGTGTTCTGAGTACAGTGAATGTGTCATCTACGTACCTCCACCATACTTTTGGGGTGGGGGTGAACGTTTCAATTCAACATCACCTGTCCCCGACATCTGGAAAATTCTAATCCACCTACGACAAATTGGAGAAAACAAAGAAAGCTACAAAACTCAAGTGTCAAAGTCGTGTGATCACAATTGATATGATTATGAACAATAAATTTTGTTCGAAACGTCATCCAGTAAATTATACTGTTTCACTGTGTGATATACCTAATAAACAAACTAATATGGAATTACTTACTACCACAGTGCCCAAGTTTTACACATATATCTCGGAGTACTGTCTAGTACATCCTAGTTTGGTTTCTCGAACAGATACACGTGTATCTGTCATGTAGAAAAAGACGTTATATGCGTAATTCCTTTAGTAGGTGTATTTATAAGCAGTCGGAAGTTGTCCATATTTGTCATCAGGGGTGAAGTATGCATAATACTGTCTGCCATACAGATGTCATGGTTATGATCTTTCAAACAGCCCTGGAACACGGTAAAGCACTGTAAAGAACAGTTGAGTTGAATTACAGGTTTAATAATTGTTCACAATAAGGCGTAATGCCTCATGTTCTATTAATGGCATTCCATTTGACGAAGTGGGTTTAAGTGACACTCAAGTTTGTAAGTGCACGAAAACACCAGACTCAGACAATGTACTAATAATCCTTTTCAAGTTTAGTTATCATGTATTTTTATTACTATTTTCATTGAAAATATCGACCAGTCAAAATGTGTTTTTATTTGAAAAGCATTCTAATACGTAAGTAGTATATGGTCGTCGTCTTAGGGCTCACCTATAATAGTTTTGTCTAATTGGTCTGTCACCCAAGGAATAAGTGATTGTTCTCCCCTTTTGTTCATTGGGTTTGTGAAGGATATTGGTGTTTGTTAATGTGAATGAAACTATTATTTTGACACAGTTGAAATTGATCTTGTATCCACTTCGCATTGCATGTATGGTATAACTAATTGCTTTTCTGAATTTTGAATTGCTCTTTATTCTTAGGAGTATGTTTAGTGGGTAGCTTATTTTTACTGTAATTTTTGCTGACAACTTTCCGTATACAAAAAGCCTTATAATCTATATAAAAAACCTTATTTGATGTAAAATATTTACGAATATTGGTTTGTAGGGATTTGATTGATTGGGTACAGGATTTCATCATGAACTGACATCGGTTAGAGAACCACTGGAAAACCCGGGAGTATTGGACAGCTGGTTCGGAACTCTTCATCAGTACACATCCATCGGGGTTCGTACGCATGACCTTCTGGCTACAAGGCGAGCTCGTAGACCGCCGGGTTCGAACCCCGGTGGACGTGTACTGATGAAGAGTTCCGGACCAGTACTCCCGGGTTTTCCATCGGTTCTCTAACCGATGTCAGCTCATGATGAAATCCTGTAGAAGATTTAGTTTCTAAGCTGACGCAAAGTAATTGATTTTATCCAAAAAATTAGATAAGATGTAAAGATTGTTATGTGTGAGGAATCTGCAAACAACAGAAAGTTAATGTATGAACATTCGTCCACACAACAATAGAAGAAATGAAATGTAAGTGTTCGGAAACCGATTAACTACAACAATACATGTAGTTTTAAATGGCCATAAAGTTGACTTTCATTAAGTAATGCACACGTGTAAGAGCTTATAAAGAATCATCACCTGAAGTAACGACTGTTAGTGGTATTTATCATACGTGGTCAGGGTTATCTTTCTCGTTCAGCTTTATTATAAATGTACTGACAGAAGTAACTGTTTGGCTTCGACATCCCAGTAGGAGTTTTAGAGTATACGAACAATAGTGTTTTAGATGAAATCACTGACATTATGGAGGATCTGAACACAATGAACAAAATCCTGTATAACTTCATTTATTAGGCTTCGTCACGAACCAACATCAGTTAGGGACCATTGAAAACCAGGGAGCTTTCGACATCTGTTTCATACTATGTAGAGACTTCAGCAGTGCGCACTTACGATTCCACCCGGAGTCGAATCTGATAAATGCGATTTACAAGACCAAGTTGGCTGACCATCCAACCACTTGGATTGGAAGTATATGACTTTATCAACTCGTGATGCAGCGCTACCCTCATCAGTGCCTCAGATTAGCAACCACTCACCTTGACGTGATAGACCCCACTGCTCGTGAATTCCCACTGCCGCTTCAGGACATCTATCAGTGAGCTGAATATTTTCAAGGGCCCTGGTGTTGTAATTTGGAGGTCCCGAGTTCGATACCTAGGGCAGCCGTGGGTTTGCACTACCGAACAGTCTCAAAGTTGGTTGAAACAGCTACCCAAAGCTTCGCGGTTTCCGATGGTCTCCAACTGAAGTTGGTTCGTGGCGACATCTGGCAATTGAAATTCAATTAATCCGGATCTACACAAATTCTATAATCTAAAATCTGGGTTCTGTTAGATGGAAAATAATGCCACTCAACTGGTTTGTACCGATTTACTGTTTAGGGATAGAAAGCAAAACTGCCAACTTCATTAGCCATACTTATTAGTTAGCGTCAGATAAAAAGGTGTTTAAATCTTGTTGATCTGTCTAAGAAAAAGCATTAACTTATTGGTCGTTGAATGAAGCGTTTGACATATAACGTAGTAAACAGTAGTCGAATGTCCTCAAAGTTATTTTGATGTGTAGTGTCAGTATACCAGATATTATATACTATTGATCGAGTCTCATCAGTTCCTAATACCAAAATGATCCAAATATTTCAAAGTGGGGAAGGTAATGGTACTCGGTATCAGAATTAGCGTGACGCACTTGATTCCTAATCAGTAAATCACGAGTTTGAATTATGTATGTGCTGATTTATTAACATGAGGTGTTACTCCACTTGATGCATGAAATGAGCAGTAGTGATTATTAGTGCTCTGTTACAACATATGGTTAAGGCGTCTGAATACTCCTCGTCATTTTTACCTACTGAATCGTTTACAGTTGTCTTCACTGAAGTCTCACCTTTCGCTCGAACATATATATTTGTGGGTCTGTGGCTTTCTGGTTCAGGCACTCAACTTTCAACTACTGAACCACATGTTCCATTTACCGGGAATTGGGCAGCATGGCAGAATCACCAGCCGTCACACAATAGGTCCAGCTGATTGACAAGTGCATATAGGTGAAAATAGTTAATGAGTAGCATTTTATTATCAGTTTTACGCATTTTTGTTATTAGCCAGCGCTTCTTATGACCCATTTATATTTTCTACCACTCCTAACTTTATCTATGTTAGGAAAATAAGTTATCTTTACTAAATGAAGAACTTTAAATTACTCAGTTGTATATCACTTAGTACGTATTTATTGATCTAACTAACTATCCGCACCTTTGTTTAGTTTACTCCACAAAAGAACGTGCAAAGTACTTTTGAATTTCAAAGTTTCTCATGAAGTGCTTGATGTACCACTTACGTTACTGATGCAATGTCATACAAACGGTTGTTTTGTAATTCATCCAGACAATGCAAAATTTCTAGTGTTTGCAGTGATGTGAAGACTGTTGAGAAAACTACGAAACAATGGTTTTTGTACAATGAAAGGTAGTGTAAACTTACACATGAGATACTTTTAAGGGCAACTGATATTGAACCGGAGAAAACATCTATCATCTTATTCCCAGGCCAGGGGGCACAGTTTGTTGGGATGGGCAAAGAACTCGTAAAACTACCCAAGATTAAAGAGATGTTTCAATGTGCTAATGAAATTCTACGGACAGATATTCTACGCACTTGCTTGGAGGGTCCTGTTTCAAAGTTGTCAAAAACTATTCATTGTCAACCGGCAACTTACATAATTTCCCTAGCAGCCATAGCAAAACTGCGGGAAGAAAACGACGAGGTTCCTCTTCAATTAAATTCATATTATATAATTGAAGTTAGTTAGGAATTGTGTAGCTACAGCTGGATTTAGTGTTGGTGAAATCACAGCACTGGTGTTTTCCGGTGCCCTTACATATGAAGAAGGTAAGTTATCGTTTTTATTTATTCATCTATGGAATTAGGTTTGCATATCATTCGTGTCCGAGCAGAGGCTATGCAGAAAGCATGTGATCAAAAATCTGGAGCAATGCTTACGGTGTTTGTGAATCCAGGATCTCCATTGAAACTCGCAATAGCAGCAGCTATTAACCATTGCGAAATTCATCATAAAATCCAAAACCCGTGTTGCAAAGTTGCTAACTATCTTTATCCAGACTGTAAAGTTCTTGCCGGTAATACCGAGGTACGACTTTTACAGTTTTTCGAATGTCCGATTTTATGTAGTATTCGCCCGTTGTTTTCATTTATTTACGGCACTTATGGTGGTATTTGTGAGATTAATAACAGCTAGTGCCTGAAAGTGGAAGCCATGAAAAGACTATCTGTCTTCGATCGTAGGTGCCTGCGTGCTATCTCCCGTGTTAGGTGGTATAACAAGGTGAGCAATATTGAGGTTAGGCTTCGGTCGAGTACTAGGTAAAGAGGGGAAATCAATCGACGAGGCTGTGAAGTTACATCTATTGAGATGGTTAGGATATGTGTTGCGCATGCATCCTTAGCCAACGCCTTCCTCGATGGGCAATGTTAGCTTGACATAGGATGGATCAGGTTGGAAAAGAGCTGGTGGTGGTCAAACGAAAACATGGTTTCATCGATCGATGAAATCCACAACAGTTAGTTTAAGCTAGCCACGTAAGAAAGAGTAGACTTCCTGTTTGGGGTCCTCGGGATGGTAAAAACCAACGCCTGGAAACAATTGGTGATATGACTCAAAATCGAACTCAATGGCAGAGATACATCCAATAAAATTCTATTGTTCTTCCATATTACTATTCTTCTTACCGCATATTTCTGTTTATTATTTCTCTTCTGTTGCTTTGTGCTACATGGATTGTGGCAACTCAAACTGCTGCACATCTGTGCAAAGTTCTATATTGAAACCAGTCGGTCAGTGCGCGATAACACTGGTCAAAACGAAGACAAGTCTTTCTTTAGTAAAACTATGTTTCATGCCTATTACTTGATATGAGGAGACCGCGAGACACCGCACGAGTAACACCGAGCTTAATTTACAAAATAACTATACGAGGCTAGTGATTTCTCTACACAGAGTGGTAAGATTTTAGAAAGCCGTAAATACTACCGGAAGTCTAGCAAATTGATAACAGTGTTGTAACAGCTGAATCTGGTAGAAAAAATTAAGTTGTAATGATTGAGTAAATGACGAGATCAGTTTGCATGTTGATAAACTATATTAAAGGTAGGGGAACTGTGTATAGTGATCAACAGTTGTACTCCAATTTAAATACTTAGTGAATTAACATGTTATCTAATACCAGGACTAAAATCGATAATATAAACAGAATATGTGAGGTTACTTGGTTTCATTGGTCAGGTTTTTCTACTAGAATTACGCTTGAAGCATGTGGACTGTGTGATTACTCGACCACAACTTTATACCCTCTTGGGATTTGTTTGAAGTTTAAACTTTGAGTCATAGCATTGGGTTGGGTAACTGCTTTTTATCTAACCGCTATCCAAACAACCTTTCTGGCATGGTAGGACCTCAAGCGACATAAGTCTCAGCCAGTATAGCTTGTTGGATCATTGCGGTGTTCAAGCCCGACCACCACATCAAGGTAGCAGCTTTCGGTCGGGTCTAGTTAACCTTTCCAATTAAGATGAATTCCGGAAAGCACACTTCATCTACAAGGTAGAAGTCATTATTGAAGTTTGTTTTGATTTTCTTTTTAAAGTCATTTTATTTAACTTTACTTTTAGGCTATAGATTACATTGAAGAACATGCTGCTCAATTTGGAATACGTCGTACAAAACGGTTAGAAGTCAGTGGGGCTTTCCATACACCTTTAATGTTCTCTGCCTATAAAACTTTGGCTAATTCACTTAACAGAATGGATGATTTCCGTGAACCTAAAATACCTGTTGTTAGTGTTGTAGACGCTTTGCCTTATAGAAATGCAATGAATATTAAGAAAAAACTTGCTATGCAGGTGAGTCCCAGCTACTAGCCCCTATTTGGGGTGATAAACATCTATATTATATTGTAACAACAGAAGACAAGGGCCAGGCAACAGATCGTTTATTAAGGAAAATCAACACATATTTATAGATTTTAATGTACATTATTGTTAGTATAAAATAAAGTCTTTTGATTGGTTGTTTCTCACAGAAAGTTAACCTTGCATCTCTTTGTGGCAGTGTCAGATCATCCATATGATAACTGTATCCGCCTACGCAAAGCCTTTGTTCTCATTTTCTCACCACCAATATTGGGGACATAAACATTGACGTCAATTACTGTCTACCAACTTTGGCTAGCAGCCAGCTCTCACCACAATATGTCTGCCACCCACTGTATACCTTTATTTGTAATTTTACATCGAATAAAACTTACAATTTAATCCTACAAAGTCACAACACCTTACTAAGGTATTTTATTTAGTTCAAGTTATCAGTGATTAAAATAAGTGGTTGAAGAACTGAAACAGAAGAGAAAGAAAGCCCGTCACAGTACCATAGAATTACTAATTCCTCACTTCATGTTGAGAGCTGACAATTATACTCATGTTTCTTGATATTACTTTCTGTTGATGCCCTTTTATCCTATTACAAACCGTAAGAAAACTAATGTGTACGTATAACCAAATAATTAATGAGCTTGTTGTCTGTATGTTAGTGAGGAGTAGAACTTGTGCTCCATAGCTTTATAAAATAAGTGTAAATCAGTTAGTTTCTGAACATAACAGCACTTTCGGCCTTTAATATTTTTGTTCTCTCATGACAAAAAAGTCAGCTCGATGTAAAAGGGTTTACCAACAACAAATGACCCAAATTTAGCAGTCTTCTACTCATTCATTCCTAAGTTCTTCAGGCCACCCCATCATTTTATGATTGTACGTTCCTACACATTGTGGAAAATATGTCACTAACAGTGTGGTCCAGGACAAGGGTGTTGTCACATAAACCCAAAAGTATGAGAAAAAGGTTAGACTGGCAGCCAGGAAATGTTAGACTTCAGTCTAGAAATCCTTTGTCTTTCCACCTTGCTTCTATTCTCTGTATTGTTGCCCTTCAGGATAAATGGCAACTTGAAATGCATAACACTACGTGCATTTTGGTGTTGTGATATGATTCAACTAACTTCCACTTATTCTTCTCAACGCTGGCTCACAGAAATCTAGTTTATCTATGCCTGTTGTCGGTGATATTTTTCAAGTCACATCCGATTTCTACTGTGTGTAAAGTAATCATTAGAGGGAAGAGATTTTTTGGTGGATCGTTATGGAATTACAAGAATACTGTCCACACGTTGTACTATTTAGTGCACTTTACTTATTGTCGCTAAGCATCGCACACCTATATGGTTACATTCAGATGTTTGGAGTTTTTGGGCAATGTCGACGAGTAATGCCGTGAACTTAATGTAAAACAATCTATAATAAGTGCTAAGTTAAACTGGATTAAATTTTAATTTTGGATAAGACTTTCCCATACTTTTGAAAAGAAATTAATGTGTGTACTTTTCCTAATCAAAACCGTGATTTGAACTTTATTCTATCGTCATAGATGGATACCGTTTCTAATATTTGTACTTCACTATGCATAACGCATACATGTATATTCAGAAAAGCCATGATAATTTCATTGCTATCCTTTGCAGGTCACTCGTCCCGTACTATGGGAACAAACGTTGTATGCATTATACAATCGTCCACCAGATGTTTCTTTTCCGCGTACCATTGAACCTGGTCCTGGTAGACAACTTGGTGCTATGCTAAGGATGGCTAAACGTGGGGCGTTTTCAAATTACATTTCTCTAGATGTATAGTTAAAGTATGTTTTGTAAATTCTAACTCCGTATCATATCTCCCTACAAATCCACATTTACTCATTGTTCATAATAGCAAGGCTAATGAAACAAAAAGAGGATTCTAAAGAAACTTTTCTTTATTGTTTTATTCAGAATAAATTGTATTGCAGTAGTAAATTACACAAATATAATCATAACAATACTGAGTTATTAACATGATTCGTTTTCATTCACCTTTATAAGTTACAATATTTTTCTCAGTTTCCCACACTTTAACTTTGTAAAGCAATTTGTTGGGTATAGCATCCACTAACTGTGACCAGATGAAAACAGCTAAGTTCTCTGTAGTTGATACAATATTATTTCTCTTAAAATATTCAACATCTTCATCGATATTTTTATGATCCAACAAATCGAGAACATTTTTTTTAATAATCAACTTTAAGTCAGCAATATTTATAACCATACCTGTTCTTTGATCAATAGGTCCTCGAATGGTAACTTCCAATTTGTAATTGTGACCATGTCCCATTGGATTGTTACATTTTTGAAAAACTTCGACATTTTCTTCATTATTAAGATGAACAGAATGAAGGCGATGGCAAGCTGAGAATGATTCCACTCTGGTGAGGTAACATTGCGCACTCATCTAGTGAGTCTTTAAGGCCAAGGTTCTGTACAAAAATTGAAGTCTTCGAATTAAAGATGTAATGTTAAATGTTGTCATTTATAAACTAACGTTATATATATATGGCATGAGTAAAGGCAGTTGATTGATGAAGAATTGGTTACCTGGTACCGGACTTTGAGTCACACAGTATGGGGACAAGTGATACTACCTAGACTAAAATAGGTGGAACGAGATTCGACTCTACGACTCATGGGCTGGAAGTTAGTTAATCAAGTTAATGAGTCACATCGCAAAAAATAGACAGTGACGTGCTGTATACTGTAGTATACGTTTGATTTTAGCAATATTTAAATGGGTCTAATTTGACGCTATACTTTAGTTATATATTGATTATCAGCAACTACAGATTCTTGATTAAAATATCCGATAGGGTGGATGAATACACTGAGATTACTGAAGATGTTTGGAAGCTCAAAAATCACAAGGAGTGAATACATCCCCTATTACTATAAATTATTTGAAGTCATCTCACCAGTGATACGTAGAGAGTTGAGGAAACCATACGTGCATACTACTAAACCAACAATCAAAGAATTCATGGATTGATGCCATGTTTTCTTCCGCCCATCTTCCATTCTTTTTCAACCTAATCCTATTTCAGCCGTTACTGGTCACCAAGGAAGGCGGTCGCACGGCATGCATTACACATGCTAGACATCTCAATAGGTGGAGCTTCACAACTCCATCAACTGACTTCTCACCTGCCAGTGTATCCGTAATTGCGCTTGATAACTATAGTACTCTGACATTTATAAAATTATATTTGTAAAATCTCAGCGAAATTGAAATGATTAATTCCAACGTTTCGTTCGGCAATCTGGTCCGAACTTCTTCAGGGAAATTTATCGAAATTAACATAACAGAGGTTTATATATAAAAGGAACAACTCATGTTTTTAAACTTTGTTCAATCATGAGCCATGCAACAGGCATCAACATGTATAATAAATAAATAAATTAAATAGTATGTTTATATATAAAAGTACATCTCTTGTTTTAAATTGTTTGTCCTGTCATATGGATCGAGAAACAGCTATCAATAGGTATAATAAACAAAACAAATTTTTTTTTATGAACTGTGGTCAAAAATTGACCTCAGACTTTCAAAATCAGTCTACTTTTGTTAAAATATATATGTGAATATGCAGTATACAATGGTGTGTGTGTGTATGGGTGAAGTCATAAAACATTTGTTATTCTCATATGAGCTGTGATCACGATTTGACCGGATAGTTGCAAAATAATTGAGATTTTTTACAAATATAATATAATTTTATTAATTTGTTACTCTCTCCATAAGAAGACGTAGACAATCGGGAATTTGATGAAGTTTGACTAGTTGTTGAAAACATATCCAATTTATTTATTAGTCAGGATTTGCCATGTATCAGCTAAGATCACACCTTCATGTCTGTTCAAACTATTGGGATTCACCCATATATGTAGGGCTTCTGCAGTCAGTCTTTCTTTATATGAACCAAAACCTTTCTGTAAAACGTTAGTCTTATCAAAGTCGATTTTGTGTCCCGTTTCTATGGAATGCAGTGCAATCGCTAAGTTGTTTTCTAGCTTCTTCAAGTCTGCAGAGGTCTTTGGGACCACCTACATATATATATATATATATATAAACATACTATTTAATTTATTTATTTATTATACATGTTGATGCCTGTTGCATGGCTCATGATTGAACAAAGTTTAAAAACATGAGTTGTTCCTTTTATATATAAACCTCTGTTATGTTAATTTCGATAAATTTCCCTGAAGAAGTTCGGACCAGATTGCCGAACGAAACGTTGGAATTAATCATTTCAATTTCGCTGAGATTTTACAAATATAATTTTATAAATGTCTACTTCTCACTCAGCGCTCAATTATTTTGCAACTATCCGGTCAAATCTTGATGACAGTTCATATGAATTTATTACTCTGCTTAACATGAATAACTGAAACGAAGGTACTCCTTCCGCAATCCGTCCATCATCTTTGGATCAGCGAAACTATATTTCACTTTTAGGTCAAGTATCGGATGCCGTGTTCCAGAACTTGGCAAAGGGTAAAGGTTGAACTAATGCATCTGCATCCGACCTTGGAACCTATCCAGTTTCCCAGAGTTTGTTAATCCTATTTAGTATACACAAAACATTGGAAAGTGGATTATATTAGTCATTTTGATTACTCTGAGTAACACAGGAAGTTGTCTCCTTTCCTATAAATTTGAATAATCAGCAAATTGCACCAGCATGCTGACTAGTACCATAGTTAATCTTGTCAAAAGTTGGTCAGACTTGCCTGTCCACTTGCCTCGTTTCAGATGATTAGCAAGTCGTCTACCTATCCGTAATGAGTCGATAATGGCCAGTTGAACCGCACCCCAGAGATTATTTCATTTAGCTACCAATAGTGTTAAACAAACTGGTCACTTCGGTAAAGTACAATACCATGCTAAGTAAGCTCATTCGATATAGTACATTACGATAGTTATATTAATTGAATGAATGTTCAAACAGTTATTTTTTTCTTAAAGTAACTGAAAGAGGAAAGTATTAGTATTGCAAGACCACAGAACTCAGAGGATAACTATTGAAAACCTGTCACACAATGTTTGTTCGGGGATGATGTTTCGAGTTTTGTAGATATAAACGGTCTTATAACCCTAAGGTAAATCGGAATGTATTATCTTTTAGGGTTAGAATTCTCCTAAACTTTCTTCTTCAGAACTAAATGACAGTATAATTGGCTTGTTAGTTTTGCGAGGGAAACAATAATGATTTAATAGTCTTATCTCCCAGAACTACGACTTCACTCTGACTCGTACCACTGAGTAAGCGACTTGCCCAGTGATAACGCATACTACCGATGTATCCACTAACCAACTCATTTTCAAGGTATGATATGGCAGTTACGTCATTAGTAAGGTGAGTTCTGGCTTGCATTCAAGCACGAAACACTAATGATTACATTGCAAATATATTTCATACGTGTAACTACTGCTTGTGCAACTCTTGCTAAGTTTAATCGAATGAATTTCGCTTCCCTATAGTGCAACTTACCTCTTTTATTGACGTCAGGTCGCTTTAATATTTTCGAGGCATTCAAACTCCAGAACCAACAATTAGTATGTACTTTAATGTATAATTTAGGTAGTCATTTGTCGTTTTGAATCAAACATTTTAACAATTTTAAGATGCCAAATCTATGTTATCATCAACTAATAGAATCTCCCTAAGTCTGTATCTGTTAAAGTGTCCGATTTCATCATGAAACATATGCGAGTACACAGTGAGAAATAGATTCTAAACATATATACATACACATGCAGAAAGGCATGTACATTGTGCCACAGCTGATCAGATGTTTTTAAACCCATTCGGCGACACTGTACATCGAAAGTAACTGAAATAAATTTTATCTACCGAATGAAATCCTTTGGGAAAAATAGTGCCTTAGAAAGCTTAAAGGCTGGTAAATCAACAGTAGAAATATCAATTCGTGGACAAACTTGAAACAAATCGAATCCCTACAAGCAAACTCTTGTAAATTAATCTAATATCCGCTAATGACTGGCTGAAGGACGAATTCATCGGGAGTTTTAGTGAGTGGTGACCGGTGACGAACACCCGGTCACTAGTGGGGACAAATACTCGTCAATGACACTGACTGGCAGTCGCGCTAAAACCAAGAATTGATGGCTGTTAGAATTCATGGGCTATTAAATCTGGTCTAAGTGACTGGATGGTATAGTTTACCTTGTAAACAGAAGGTCCTGGAATTCTATATTAGTTTGTCTATTAGAGGTATCACACAGTGAAACAGCATTATTTACACGACTTCAAAATCTGAGAAAAAAACTCAGATTTCGAAGTCATGTGTTTATGACTGATATGTTTATGAACAATAAATTTTGTTCGAAACGTCATCCAGTATATAACACTGTTTCACTGTGTGATACATCTAATAAACAAATTACTGTGGAGTTACATACTACCACAGTGCCCAAGATTTACACATATATTAAGAAGGCCCTGGGTTCGAAACCCGATGGGTGCGTACTGCCAATGAGTCCACAGCCAGGACGAAATAGCTATCCAGTACTCCATGGTCTGCAATGGTACTCTAGCTGATGTTAATCCGTGGTCAAACCTCAATTAGAAATATCTGAGTGTTTTGCCGAAAACCATGGAACTTAACTCGTCCTTGATTGGTCCGAAATGTTCACTACACAGTATATAATAATGTTTCCGACAACCGTATTGAATGAAAGAATACATTCTCAAAGTAGAACTTTGCACCGAAATGCATCGATTCAATTTTCCACACCACAAAGCACACATAAGATTTAGGAAAACAGCGGTGTAGTCATGACTTTTATGGAGAAATATAAATCTCTTCACTTGTCCCAAATGATACTTTTGAGAAAGGTTACGGAAACTCTGGGAGTTTTAACGGCACCAAAGAATTAATCCTAAAACACACAAGGAATGAGCGAAGAAATATTTGCTTTCCACCTATGGCTTTACTCTGATACATATAGCACTTTCAGCACAATACAAAAAACACCGATTTAGTAGTGATAAGTAAGCCAGCAAAAATTAGTTAGTATCAACGTGACGAGGGGGAGGTAATTAGTCAAGAGTATTAATGAGGTAATTAAGGGGAAGGAATAATTGTAGGAATTACACAGAGTTAGTGCCCATAATTTTAGAAAAATAAAGAGTTATTAGGAAATATATGATTTTTCGAGCCATTTATTTAAGTAATAGGGTCATGATCTTCCAGGATTATGATTTATGCATCGCAACTGGTTTGATGTGTTAACTAAGTCCTATAGGAAACTACATGGTGAAGTTAAAGTACCATAGCCAAAACCAAGGTCTTTCAAAAGTTGACCTCCAAGAATCAGTTAGATACAGGGAATGTTATGAAAGGTCATTTCTAATCAAACCATGCCTACCTTCTTGGACTTGAAGAAGGTAGATACAGTATTCCACCTGTTCTCTAAGTACTTTTTCTGTAAACCTATACCGTTAGGTAGGGTCATGACTTTTAAGACTAAGGTTTAGGGTTAAAGTTAGGATTAAGAGTTTGGATTATGGTTAGAGTTA